AAGAATATGCTTTTCATATTAATTACGGTTCATGAACAAATCCTGATATAGAATGCATATTGAATGTGGACTACTAGATTGCATAAGGACGAAACTAATATAATACGCTATAAACAATGAATGAAGTTCTTATATGCTTATCTTACACCAGTTTACCTATATGAAGACATCTGAATGCGAGCTCTCAAACCGCACTTTAATGAAAGTGAACATATATTGTTCAATTAAGCGCTGACACACTTTCTTACCCACAACGGACGCAGTGCCGATACGAGCTTATGTGTGGCCCAACTGTGTCAGGATGACCCACAAAGGGAAAATATGTGCATCTCTGTTTGGTCGAAGTCTCACTCACTTCTCTGGCAGTCAGCTCTCGGTCAACCATGTTCCGCAAACGCAGATCAGATCACTCGAGATGAGCGAGGTGCTCATGCAGAGAATCGGTTTGCCGCTCGAGCTTTTATTTTAATTTAATTCAAGACTTCGTGTAAGAAGAGATCACACCTCTCAGCTTGAGCGCAACTTGATTTTTGTCAGAGCCTTTGTATTATATCGCCATTTCTCGTTTCAATTTAATTTCTGGTGCACTCTCGATCAACAGCCGGATGATTGCCGCTCGAGTTTTCGAGCTGTCACATGTTGTGTGGCGTGCTCTCTGAGAAAAGTATAACCTTGGGGATTAGACTTGGTTACCCAAGGAAAATAGTTCAAAATGTTCAAGTTTTTGCTTCAGAGGAAATAAAATAAAGTTTAGAGAGCGATGGCCGTCTTAGCACGTGTCGCTATTTGCTCCTGTTTACTTGATTTGAAAAAATTTCCAAAGCACGGGAACAGCGCTTTCTATAAAAATTCTTCATGGTGGCTTATTCATAATATAGAATAGAATAGAATAGAATAGAATAGAATAGAATAGAATAGAATAGAATAGAATAGAATAAAATAGAATAGAATAGAATAGAAGTGTCGGCGTTGAAGAAATAGGCCCATGGCCTGTTGCCGATTCTTGAACTTTTCGTGACTTGATTCACAAGGGATCCGGCCTTTGGAACCCGATCTTACTTATTGCCTGATCCGTAATTTGCTAGAAAATTTCAACTCATTGTCGATATTAACTCCTAAATCCTTTTCCGTTGTCGACTTCGACATCATCACTCTGTCGTTGCAACTGTGTCTTCTCATACTGTAATCTTGCTGTTCATTATTCTTGCCAAGGTGGATAACTTTACATTTGTCAGCGTTAAAACGCAGCTGCCACTTAAACGACATTAAAAACGACTTGGACTATTCATTCTAGGAATTTCGTGGAATATTTAAGCCATTTTTCTAACCACACTACCAATAGCCTCCAATAACTGACATGTATTAGATAGTTTCTTACATGCACTGTTATATAATGATCTTAGACAGGTCACTTGTCGGTTGCACCTGACATAGCGTTTTTAAACATATATGTAAAGCATCCCTGGCGTTGAAGAAATAGGCCTGTTCAGGTCGATTATTATACTTTTTTGTGACTTGCTTACAGATTTAATAACTGGTCTTTTGACAATATCTTTCGACTGACGTTGGTTTTACATTGTCACTGGACTTGTATAGGATGAATCGCGAAAAATCTTGATTTGAAAACTCAGTAAAAAAGACACTGGTAACGATATTAGTACAATATAAATTTCACTGAAAAATACATTCACTGCAATTTTGCATCACTTAGTTTTAGTGATAAATCGGACAAATGATGACCCCATTGTAAATGCAGTTACCTAGTCGATTTCTGAAGTTCCGTTCAACTCGTTGAACCATTTACTGACGGGTATGTTGGCGATGGCTTGGCGTATGTTGTTCTTCAAACGACGTGGGTCCTTGGACAGTCAATCTAAACAATTGATTTAAGATAACCCTATATAAATAAAATCCATATCAGGGAATTGGGCCGGCCAAAGAAGGTCACTCACAAGGAGATGATCAAGGTGTTCTTCAAAATGTTGTCTCAGAAGATCCATTGAACATCGTGTTGTAAAGGCCGTGGCTCCATCCTGTTCGAACCAGACATTCATTTCAGTATGTTTCGGCAAAAAAGACGTCAATCATTTGCGTGTACCAAGCTGCAGTCACCGTTACTGCGCGTTCGTTTTACTCAAAGAAATAAGGGCCAATTGTGCCGACTTTTGACATCGCACATCACACAGTTACGCGTTCACAATAGCTGCTGATAGAGTTCACGCAGGTGTGGTCAGCTGACTTCCAGACTCTCTTGCATTCACACACACTTCCACTAGACCTAGAAATCGGCGAAAAATCGTCATCGCCGTGGGTCAACCTTATATTATTTCAACCATGGCGCTCTGCCACGTGATGCCGAAATATTTTGCTGTCTTAAGATGGGATAAAAAATGGAATGAGTCGTGCAGTAGCCATTGGCAGTTTGGATTGAGCATTAGACTGCCTTTTTGGATTGGATAATTAGACTGCCATTTTGTAGTCTAAAGGTCTACCGGATTTTATTCCGTAGCCAAGGAAACAAGATTGCGCTCCCCGCGGCCCACATTTTTTGAGGAGGGTGCATGCCGGAGGACAGAGGCGGGAGGTAAACTTCTACCCAAATAACCCAATCCTGTACTGAACTTACATCAGCCAACCTCACAAGATGGCAGCAATTGTTTTCATATACAAAGAAGCTGAAAACCACAAGCTATAAGCTCTCAGGCCCAACGGTCATCCATCTGGCAGACCTGCGGCTTTAAGTCCACTCCAAGTGGACACCCTGCAAAGAGGAGGCGGGAGGCCAGCTTTGCCAAACTTCACACTTAGTTCATATTCCTTTCCATAGGTAATAACGCTAGAGTGCATAACGGCAGTCGGCAGACATCATCTACAAAGGAAGAGGAAGACTTCAGAGTACTGTTAGTAATGGTCCTATAATGGATGAGTACACTCTCTGGCCTCTGCTTGCTTCAAACGTTTTAAAATTTAGTTTCATTTAAAGTGTCCCTTATTACCCCTAAATACCCCATTCTCATTGTTGGTTCAGGAGGCTTGTATTTTGCATTGGCATCTTAAGAATAGCATATGAAATTTTTTCAGAGATGCTATAGTATATGATACTGATAGCCCAGATTAGCCCTTGCAATCTGCAAATAGCTACCTTTAAAATGAGCCCAAACTTGTTTATGAAATGTTTCATGGGACGGTTTTGAGCATTTTTCTTTAATAACTCCTTACCATGATGGTAAGGACTAAGGAGTTATTAAAGAAAAACGCTCAAAACCGTCCCTTATTACAAGTTTACAACATTTGACGGTATGAGCAAGCATGCTTAAGCGTTAAGCATTGGCTGAAGACCTACGTTGCTATTATCTTTTGGCAATCGGCAGTGTTTTGCTTGTCTGGATTAGGTACGGAGTTTAAGCATATTCTGCAGCTTCTAGTTCTGAGGCTAAGTAAAGTTAATCATGTTAGTGCATCATGCATGGTGAAGCTTGGCATTGGCTCTGCCTCCAGTGCTTATTTAAGAGTAAAATTTATGGCCTATGGCTGTGCCTCCTTTTGAAGTCTACCTACAAAGGCTAGTGTGTGATTCTTTGAAAACAGAGAGAACAAAAAAAAAATTTCTTGATTTTACTAAATATACTAGGCAACTTAGGCCAGGGCTGATGTAGGTTAAATTGACCATGATCTTGGGCATTTTTTCTTGTTCATGGATGGATGGCTTCTGCACAATAGTTTTTACTTGGCAACTTTAGCTTGTACTTGGCAGCAATTTTCTCATTTCTCAATAGCACAAAATAACAATAGCTTCTTCAATTCAATCATAGGTCACTAGGTGACTGTGAAAACTTTGGTGTACTCATACTGAATAACTAAACTGAATAATATTAATACTATAAAAATTTTGAGCTGAAATATGTGGACACTTGACACTTGGGCCGCTTGGGCACATAATTGAACACTAACACTACTGTTGCTGCATATTGAAGCTAGTATGGAATATATCTACTTGGCGAGCCGCGACTGAATTTTTAAAGTGCAAACCGCAATTTTTTAATCAAACAAAAATTTATGACATTCGAGCCGCGAGATTTCATACCTACTGAAATTATATGATATTAGAGCTGCGATATTTCAGACAAAAATAGGACTTTTCCAGACTAGTATTGAAGTTTGAACAGTGAACACACACTGACCATTTAACACTGCTAACAGTTACAGTGGGTTTTGTTTTATAAATCAGGGGTAGGGTCATCATAGACATTATTACATAGCAATACACCCACCAGTGTCACCACTTGACAAATTGGCAGTTGGCACTCACACCACTAGGCATAGTGAATTAGTGAGGTTAGTGCAAACCAGAGAATCTATAGAATCAGTTCATTTTAAATTTCCTCATTTACTCAATAGAAAAGACTTGAACCAATTTCTTATACTATAGGTATTGTTTAGCCTTGTATGATAAGGTTGATTATGTTGATATGCATGATCATGAATCATGATGATCATGCATATATATCAACCAATCAAACCCAACCCAGTGCAACCCAAACCAATTAAATCAAACCCAAGCCAACCTGATTCAATATCATTATCACCCAATTGATACTAACCAATTTCAACCCAATCCAACCAAACCCAACCCATTGCAATTTAAACCAATTCAATCCGATCTAACCCAATACAATTTAATCCAATTCAAGCCAATCCAACCCAATGCAACCCAGCTAAATTTAATCCAACCCAATTCATTCCAACATGATTCAACTCAACCTAATCCATCCCAATTCAACCCAAATCAAACCCAACCCACTGAACGCCCAGTGCAACGGTGCAACCCAAACCAATTAAATCAAACCCAAGCCAATCTGATTTAATCTCACCCAATTGATCCCAACCAAATTCAACCCAACCCAATCCACCCAAATCCCCAAGCTGGTCTTTTTAGCTAAGCAAGAAAGTTATTATTACCTATAAAATTTATTGTTGATGATTGATACTTTTTCTTTTTCAGATCACTAGGTACTTAAATAGAGTTGCAAAATGTCACGGATTCAGAAACTTCGCCTTCAGGGGATACGGAGTTTTGGTCCTGAGAAGCCTCAGGAGATCAAGTTTAAGCCTCCTCTGACTCTCATTCTTGGCCAAAATGGATGTGGCAAAACTGTGAGTAATTTGCCCACTCAACAAATTGCTTTTTATTTTTTTATTTACCAGAAAAATGTTTGTTTTCTTCTATGAATAGGATTCTGATGGAAAAAATCTAAATTCCCTACTCTTTTGAACCACTAGGCTAATTCAAATCTTGACTAAACATTGCATCAAAAATTATCAACATTTTGAAAATTGTTCATTAATTTATTCTTCTTTTCAGACTATCATTGAAGCTCTTAAGTACATCACAACTGGTGAGAAGCCACCAGGTTCAAATGGAGGACGCTCATTTGTCCACGATCCAAAAATATCAAGAGAAGTCAAATCAAGGGGACAAATCAAACTCAGAGTTATTACTGCTGCAGGAGAGAAGGTTTGCTCTCTGATTGGTTTGCATTAGAAAATTTTCTGTTCTATTTCCTGTTTAGTATTCCCATAGAAACTAAAATTAATACACTGTTTGTTAGGATTGTAGCAAGTAAAGCTGCTATGTTCAGTCACAGTTATAGCTAGAGCAGGGTAGTACCTATATGATGCACCAGGTTACCTAATTTATGGGATAATTCATAGGAAAGTTGTGACTGAACAAATTTTATCTATGAAACTGAGAATAAGAAAGGAATCTAATTATTTCAAAATTAAATTGAGATTCAAATCCTGTTACAGTTATTTTTGGTAGACTGTGTTCTTTGAATTGTCTAAATTATTTGTCTGTCATGCTGTATACTACATGTTAATGCTACAAGGCACCCATGTACCTATACCAACCAATGGATGGTTGAAGCAAAGGTGGGCAAAGGGAGGCGATCAGGAAAGATAATGGAAGGAGATGATGAGAAGAAGCCTAGAAGGCAGCCTGTCTTTGTGTTGTGATGCTCAATGACAGCTACCCTAGCAGCTGACTTGTTGCGTTAAAGAGTTTTTCTGGATGATTTTAGAAAGCAGGCAGTAGATATGGAAGTGGCACAGGAGTTCTAAAGAGAGCTGATCAATTTAAGATGAGACTGTTATAAATATATACCTACATGTGGTAGTAATGTTTTCCTTTTAGGAGCATTTTTTGATGCCAACCTAGTATTTCAGTATATGTAGGTATGTTGGGAGTTGGGTGACTGCATGTTTTTTGCAGTGACCTAGATATGGAGGGTTAAAATGAATCAATAATTCAATGTGACTCCCTAGCTGCAAAGAGATTGTCTTATGGAATAAAGCAGTGCAGTTTTAGTTGGTGAGTGTTGAGAGATAGTGGTGGAACATATGTCCAAGGAATTGGGCAACACCATGGTGGTAGACCTGCCAGTGAAGTCTGAAAATGAGTTCTCCCAAATCCATTTTGATGGGTCTGAGCTATTCTCAGTCTAGGTTGAAATGGAGTAGGCTTTTAATGGGTAGTTAGAAACATACCGGTATTGGTTGACTAGGACATGGAGATGGCCCACCCTGGGAAATTTTTGGATATAACGAGAAGTCAAGATTTTTAATTGGCAGCAGAGCCAACAAGGTTTTGGTATAGGTCAGGGCATGCTACCATAGATTTCACTTGAGCTGATTTTTAAAAGATTTTCTTATCTTAGATTTTTGGTTTAACTTTATGAAATAGCAATATCTGTGATTTTTAAAACATTTTCTCATCATAGATTTTTGGTTTAACTTTATGAATTAGCAATGTCTGTGTCTCTGTGGGATTCTTAGAAGCCCATAATTAGTTTTTTTAACATAATATCGAATGTCTAGGTACACTATTGGATTCTCAGGAACAAGTTATCAATACAGTGAGTTGTGAAATCCTTTTTTCAGCAGGATCAATAAATTTATTAAATTATTTCATCCTAATTACTGTAATCATTTCATGAATCTTCCAATCATAGGCATCACTCTGGTTGATACTTCTTTCATTCAAGGAATATGTTGACTGATAGTAAAATAATAACTTGCATTGAACTCATTCCTCCAGTATTGAACTCCTCAATATTTGATATGCGTTCTATTTTTCAGTTTGATTTGGTCCGGTCTGTGGAAGTGGTGCAGAAACCTCAAGGATTGAAATTTGAATCTTTGGATCAAACCATCACTCGCACTGGTCCTGATGGCCAGAAGATCCAAGTGTCCAACAAGTGTGTGGACTTTGAGTTGGAATGTCTCAATATCATTGGAGTCAGCAAGCCCATTCTTGAGAATGTGATTTTTTGTCATCAGGTTTGTAATCTTAACGGGTTGACGCCGAAGTGGAACATATGCATGCATACAACGAACTGTATTTCTCTAGGACAAAGTGGTACATAATTCAGGGTTGGCAAATGGCCTAAAAAACGGCCTAGTCTGCAAACAAAAAAGGTCAAAAAAGGCTTATAACTCAATCTTAATTGAATTAAGAAGTACCCCTATCATAAATGTTAGACGGCCAACACAATTGAAAAAACTAAATGGCAGAATTCGTCCGGAAAAAAAGACCGTCTAGCAACCCGGTATTCATAATAGTACAAGAAATAAAATAATAGTACAAGATGAAGCAATCGGAGCCAACGTTTTAATCATATTGAACACAAAATATTCTGTATGGTTGAATAATTTTACGTCATTAATTCAGCAATGCTTATCGGAGTATGAAATTGATTCATGGTAAAATCTTTTTAATCAAATAGCATTTTCACTACAATGAATATTTGCAAGTTCTAGCAAGTTTCTTAACATCCAATCAAATTTTTTGACATTTTGTAATCCCATTGTCACATAAGGCAAGTATTCTAGCTATCAAATCTTACCCACATAATTATTAGGAAAGAATTAATTGGAATCTTGCAGCATTGAAAAATATATTTAGGAAAGTAATTCTTGCAGTTTGGTTTCAGGAAGACAGCAACTGGCCTCTAGACGAAGGTAAAAAAGTTAAGGAGAAGTTTGATGCAATTTTCAATGCAACTCGTTACATCAAGGGCCTAGAGACTATGCGCAAGCTCAGGGCTGAGAAGAAGCAGCAGATGATAAACATGACTGAAACACTGGAGTCGCTGAAAGACATGAAGGACGAAGCAGATCGTAAGAAAACTGAGCTCGCCACACAGCAAGGGCTTCTTGACCAGATCAAAGAAGCACAGGATAATTTTTCTCAACGCAAGCGGCCTTTACTCAAGAGAATCCAGGAAATAGAGGAAGTAGAACACGGCATTGCCAAAATTTCTCATGATCTAGGTGAGTCTAATGTGATTTTGTTTCCCATCTGTGTTTACGTAGCCAGTGGCATCTTCTTGGCTCACCACAAAAGCTACTATATTAAATTTTAAATGTTGACCTCAGTTTGAATTCCATCATATTTTCATGTTTTGATTTCTAAATTGCCATTACCCCTGTCGTACCGTGAAGGATTTGTTGAGAGATATGCTTAATGAATGTCCATTGTTGTTTGATATTTGTATTGTTTTTTTCTTAATTCAATTTAAGATATTCGAAATACAATGTTCTGAATCCATGTGAACATTTACTTAAAATTGAAACCGTATTGAATGCGTGGTATATTGACCTTATTCTTAAATTTTTAACACCTTCCATTCTTATGTTTTGGTTGTACTAGAATGCTTTTTAATATGCTTATTTCCACACATTATGCTTTTATTGCATGTGAATACGCTCAGTTCATGAAACTAAAAATGATAATAAGCTAGTACTGATAATTATCTAACTGCTTATTTCTTTTTTTTCTCCCTGACTTTTGGTCGCATGACATTAAATTACAGGAAGCAAAGAGAAAAGAATCTCGATGCTCGAGGAGATGAACACGTCAGATGCGGCAGAGCAGAGCCATCCAATGGACTGCAGTGACGAGGAGCTGCGCAGGAGGATCTCTGAGTACCAAACCACCCTGAGTCTCAGGAGGACTCAGATACACAAGGTTTTCTATCGTTCATGATGTATAGATAAGTAAATGTGAATATTTATTTATTCTGAAATCTTGGATCTGTTTCCGGCATGGATAGAGATAAATAAATACCTAATTCCAAAGTTGTTCGGTATGGAAACTCTATGTTCAGATTCAAGGATCAATTTTGTATTTTCTATCTGACAAAGGACCTGACTACATATTTCGTTAGTGGTAGTATTCCTTAGAAAAAAGTGTGGAATAACTCAGTGGAACTAAACTACTAAAGTCACGGAGAAGATTCTTGTAAATATATGACTTAGATCCAAGATATGCGGTTGTTTGTTTGCTTGGCAATCTGAACAACGTACTCGAGAAGTCTGTTCTGGACATGCTGACAAATGTTAAAACATTGAAAAATGTTCAAAACTCTTGCAGGCTGAGCGCAGCATTACAGATGTGAGCCAAGACTTGAAGTTGCTGGCCACCAAGCAGTCGGAGGAGCAACGTCTCCTCACCAAACTGGAGACCGAACTGGAGCAGCACCAGGCTCGGGTACAGGACAGAAATAAAGCTATTGCTAAACTTGTGGCCTCTGCTGCAATTCCTGCTCTTCAAGGTGTGTTTATCGCATTTATGAAGAAAAATTAAGCTTCTAGCCACTTAGCATTGTTTCTTTTTTTAACAACTAAACAACATAGGCTAATGTGACACGAGTTATTTTTTAACTCCGTGTCTTTATGCAGCGTCAATTTACCATTAATAATGCATTAGGAAAGATAGATATGTAGTGTGATCCATCATTGTGTAATTACTCCTAAAATATAGTATTCCATGTAAATTTTTTCTAATTATATTTTACTACACATAAAAAATGAGAATATTTCCCGACTTGCCCCCATGAATAGAAGACTTTACAATGGAGGGTTAAACCAACAGGTTAAACCAGTAGATTAACTTTCTTAGCCAAAATTGCAAAATTCTGTGTTCATTAGAGGTAAGTGGTAACTCATTGCTTTTTTTACGCATATGAGAAAGCACCAGGTTACATGGCTTCACTCGCAACCATCACAAAAGAGCTGCTATTCATACAAACGAAAGTAAAAAAAAACTGTATGGTTTCACTCACAAATCTCCTACAAAATATTTTACCAGCGTTCGACCAGAAGGGAGAGTATGATGAAGATGACGCTGAGAGAGCCATGAAGAGCGGCAAGGAACACGTAAGGCTTCTGGAACAGCAACTGGAGTCTAGCAACACGGACATGCTAGCCAACGAGGAGGCTCTGCAGTCCAGCATCAACAAGCTCAGGTTTAATGCTGGCTTTTTTCAAGCCATATATGATCTTGATATTGCCTCAGAGTTATCACATTAAAGTACTGTTCATCGATAGGAACCGGTCTAATGCTGGCCTTTTCCCTCCTATAAAGTTTCATGGTATTGCTTCCGAGTTGTTTTGAAAATTACTCTGATTGCATTCAGGGCAAGCTCTTTTGGGTTTAAAAAGCTGTGAATTTAAATGTCTGTAAATAAGATCTGTGATAACGAATTGATATTTAATATCCATACAGATCGCGAGAAGCTGCACTAGAGCAAGAAGTAAAAGGTCTAGATGACCGTATTGCACAACTGCAGCTGCAGGCTCGTCAGAGCTCCTCGGAGCTACGGAGAATGGAGCGAGAAGTACAACTCTGTGACATTGATGTGATACAACAACAAATTTCTGACGTGGACCAAAAGCTTCTTATTAAAGAGCAAAGTTTTGATGAGCCTCAGGTGAGTGTATTATTGTCAAAGTTTCTTAAGCGTTTTGTGGCAATAATAGTTACATTCTACGTTAAGCTCATAATCTATTTATTCACGTTTAGTTTTGTATATGCTAAAGGGTGTGACGTAGAACACACTTTTCTTAGTTTCTTACTAACAATGGTCCTTTAAGAACATTAATACGATATAAGTACAAATTCACTACTAATAGAAGCAAAGACCTTGTACCCTAACGAATTAAAACTAAGCAAAATAGTTAGCCGGTCACTAGATGAAATCTATAAATTGTCGTCTGCGCTAGCTAAACAACAGAATGATATAACCACGCTAGAGAAATTTAGCATGCTATCTGACGTGCTAGAAGGCTTGATTGTCACTGGTACCCATTTAATCTCAGTTAGTGAGAATCTCAATTAGCTCGTAGAATCTCTACTTCTGATCTTTCCTTACCTCAACTAATTTCATTAGGTAAGATTATCCTCGTATGAAGTAAACCGAAATGTCCATTAACGTACCAAGCAGGGTTAAAAGCTGTAAGCATCCTTACACTACTTTTCCTTCACTATTTCATTTTATGTTCTGAGTTGCGAGCTTCTTAAATAAAGTGATCAGTTTCAGATTTAATATTTCTGAGGTATCAAATCTAGTAGGAGGTGAAACTAATTATAAATTGATACTAATGAATAGCGGTGGTTATTTACAGGTGTTGGCTTCATTAGAAGAGATGAAACAACGCCGCCACGACTTGACGAAACAACTGCAATTACTGAAAGTACAGCAAATGAAAATGAATAAGCAGGCCGCCGCTCGCTCAGAACTCGATATCCATACAAAACAAATGAATGAAATGAGCAAGAAAATATCGCTGCTGTAAGTCCCAATCTACTTTCTAAATTCTGATGTCGCTCTTGCCGGGTTCCCGTTATCGCAGCTCTTGCACACAGTAATTAGAGTAATGTAGGGATTTTATTTATTTATTTGTATTAACGACGAAAATATTTGTAGAAAAAGTAACATGGTTTGGTGGCATCTTAAATCGGATATCATTGTGAAAAGATTTGGGAACCACGACTATAACTTTTATAAAACTGTTTAATAAGTGAGTGTGAATTATTATGGCCCTCATGCCTTGCATGAACTTCTTATGGAAACTAGACACGGACACCAAGTAACGGTGTTTTTACTTTTTTGTGAAAACTATATTTTTTTATTGAAATGTGACATTCTATTTGAATACGTACCAATATTTGTTCCATGTAGCTTTTGGCAGTGATGGTGAAACTCGCCTACGTTTTCAGGTTCCATCAGTGTAGAGGTGTTTTAGAACGCTTACTGCCGTCCAACGTCACTGAGGAGACGCTCAAAGTCGACTACGATGCTTGCTATAAAGAATTGGTGCGTATAATATTACTAATATTTTGACTATATAATATCATAATTAATATTGTCGTTTCTATGTGTGGACTATTTTGTGAACAACTTCAATGGTGACGAATCCTGAAGGGTGAATAATGATTCCAGTATATACATTGTATATATATATATATATAATTATTTGATTCATCCATGCAGGAAGGCATTACAGCCTTGTTGATTTCCGACCTTCTCTAATGACCAAAACCTCACCACCAGGCATGCTCATGCTCAAAACCTCATTAGTTAATGTATAAATCCGATATTTCGTTTTGCAGCTCAAGAATGTAAATGCCAACAAAACGATGTTGGAAACTCTGCGTGAGAAGCGCTCAAAGCATCAAGTCGCCGTCGACAGTCTGCGTCGTCAGCAAATGGAGAAGGAGAAGGAAATTAAAAGTATGCACGGCGCTGTCCTTACATACGCCTTTTAGGTTTTATTTCCTTACTTTTGAAGAAATATACTTAGCATTAGCGCTTTGAATTGTTTACCTAAACGTGAACTGCATGTTTGAAATGTTTACCTAAACGTGAACTGCATATCCTTAAAATTTCCAGGCTTTTATTGATCGTTGTTCTGACTGTGACGTTTTAACCAGAAATCAATCAAACCTACCGACTTCTAAGTATAGAGTTGGATTACTAGCAAAAACGCTTGCAAGGAGCAGCTTTGAAGGGACTCCCATTTGGCAAATCCCCATTAAATTTTTTTACTAGTATCACATCCTAAAATGTATAATAAGGATACGAGTATTAGCTGTGGCAGATCCCAGGGGGAAACCAACGCGACACCAAACGCTGAACTGTACAGCGGAACAAGTTGGAGTAGGGAACCATAAGAATATGATGTGACCACCTAAATCTGCATCGATCAAATCGACAGTTGGAGATGACCGGTAATGACTTGACGTAACTGAAGTCTGCAGCATGCGCAGGAAATAGATGGCGTAATTCTGACTTGTGAAGAATTCAACTTGATTATTTTATTGAAGGTTTGGAGGAGCGTATCAGCGACGTGTGCCCCGACCTGCCACTGGAGGAAGCACTGAGCCGCAAGAAAGACCAGGTCGAGGCGCTGCAGCGCGAGAGCGGCGAGCTGGAGAGCACCAAGACGGTCATGGAGCGATACGTGGAGAAGCTCACTGTTGAGGACTGCTGTCCTCTGTGTCATAGGGACTTCGCTGCCAAGGAACAGAATCTTGATCTCCAGAACGAGGCAAGTTTCTTGCATTTATTGATTGGGCTCTTGTGTCAATCATTTGATTGGAAACGAGAAAATAATTATGAATTCCGTGAAACTGTTAATATTCTAACAAGCTATATTCGTTTAGACTAACGAAATTTTTGTTCCTTCTGGCCTAGCTTTCTCACTGACATGATCATGGCATTTGTGTAGATGTGACATTTTTAATAATTCAAGCTGGAATATTTTTGTATTATATACCTGAATTGAGCCATTTAGCATTAAAGATGTCAATTTGTTTGTTTTTGTTTGTGCTCAGCTGCGAAGCCGTCTGAGCAACTTACCAGTTCGCCTGCAGAGCGCAAAAGAGCGCCTGAGCGCTTCAGAGAAGCAGTTTAATGCTCTGCTTCAACTGCAGCCTTTCAGGGAGCAGCTTCTCGAAGCACAGGCAAAACTCAGGAGCATTCAGTCAGTGATGTTCTTTTGTGTTTACAATTGCAATTTCAACTGCGATATTTATTACTGTTCTAAGCAATGAACGTGATCCGTCCTGCTGATCTTGCCTGTTGATTAATTTATTTGACTTGAAAATTTGCACTGTATTCAAATACAAGGGAAACTTTATTTATTATAACCATGAAAAGTTTCAACTAAATAACTCAAAAATTTATTCTAAGATGTTCCCACTTTAGAAGATAGTTGAACTGACACCTTTCTAGAATTTTTCTTTTGCATCATAGGCAAATAATTGGTCAGCAGTATGAATGCCATTTCTTCCAAAGATTGTGTAATCCACTAGACGATCCTGGCAATTGTTTTAGTCTTTGTACATAAAATTATTCATTTGCTGATGGTTGCCCAAGTCCGACACCCTGACCCTTGCTCACTCCACCTCCTGTGCCCCGTTGAAGAAACATTGAATTGATGCATTAAAAAAAATTCAATATTTAACATTGAAAATCTTACTTGACTGTAATTTAATTGATCGCTATTGGGAGCAAAATATCCTTTCCCAGTAATATCAATAACGAACAAAACAGTGGCATTATTTCTTTCATAGTAGCGCACTATCTACCCGCGTTTCGTTCTTCCCGTCAGTACACGATCATTCGATTTCAAACTTCATAATGCAGATGGTATTTTAGACACTCCATCAATAAATCAATCCATAAGATTAATTGTCAGATCCTTGAGCAGAAGAAAAATTTTATGTTTTTTTAATAATATAATCTTTTCTTATTCCCAATCATCGATAGTAATTCATGTAGATTCATTGATTGAAAGTGATGTAATATTGACGTAATAACTGTACATGTAAGTATTATAAGTATTAGTATATTTATGAGTAGATATACAAGTTAACTATCTGATGAATTATTATTGATAATAATTATTTATTAGTATTCATTGACTTGCTGCATGTTGACAAAAGGTCGGACTTGTCTCGTCCGTTGTCCGAGTTAAGCCGCGTCAAAGAAGAGCTCGACGACTGTGAGGCGAACTTGTCGCTCTACAACAGCGAGGCGTCCATGTGTCAGGGCGTGCAGGAGAATGTTGTTGCTGCTGATACCATGGCCAAGGCTAGGGCAAAACTCGCAGCCAAATGTGAAGAAATTAAATCCAGGCTCGGCGAACAAGGTATCCATGCATGTCATACAGTGATAATGGGAGATTGAAAATTCTTACAAACGAAATCAGAATAGGCTCATGAAATTAAAACTGTGATGTAATCTTTAGACAATTAGGAAACACGATCGTAGTTCGGTATTTATTTACATCAATCGAAGAAACTATGAATGCATTATTTCAAAGCATTCATTAGTGAGCGGTATAGTGGAAATGACTTAACAACTTCTTGCTAGCTGAGTTGGAGTAGAGCTAGGTATTCCACCATCGTATTCCCTATTCTAGCACATGACACAGAAATTAAAATCGTATCTCACGTACTGCGCTCCAGAAAGTCGCGAATTTATCACTGTCGTTTTTTAGATGGCGGTGCTAGTCTGGAGGAGACGACTGAGCGCTTAGCGTCACTGGAGCAGCAGTTGAGGGGCGTGACTGATGAGCTGGAGGCGGCTCAGGCGCGCTATATGGACGACAAAGACCTGCTCGTTAAGCTCCGCAACACGAGGAACGATCTCGCCGCCAAGCAAATCCAAGTACGACGTCGCTCAATCATATCTTGCTTATCTACGGTCTACGGATCAATTGTATTTTTATCTAACACAAAAGACTATCTCGCTGTCATGCATGTCTTGCTGTTAGATTTTTCTCCACGTCCTTGTGTTGATGTAATTTCAAGCTGTAACCTGCATTTTGTTCCATGTTTTTGCAGTGACTAGGAAAATGTTGTGTTATTATGCCTTGTGCCCATTTTTATTACGCGAAGTTCAATCGGACTCGAACGCAACGCTGCGGCCATACTTAATCATTATTTTAGTTTTTTTTGTGTTGCACATTTTTGTGCAGTTCTAATTTGTTATTCTCGTGCTTCTTTCGATACTTTCAATCCACTGCCCTTCTCTAGCTAATGACTAAATTGTTCTACGGTATAATATATTTATATAATATATTCCGTATAATAATTGTTCCGAGCTATGTCTCAGAAAGAAGGCCCTTGTGCGAAAGTGTTAAATTATGCGTATTTGTGCAGATGAAGACTAAGCAACAGGCGGTGGAGAAGAAGCGTGAGGAAGTGAAGCGTCTGGAAGAGGAGAGCTGCAAGGAGCGGAAGAGCAGAAACGAGCGTGAGGAGCTTGTGGGCCCCGCCAGGACTGCCGTCAAGGAAGAGCAGGCCAAGAAAGATGCCGCCGTGGCACGACGACATCTGCTCGACAGAGAAGCTCGAACTAAGGTATAAGTTCTTCAGTTCAGGATGAGGTACAAGACACGGAAGTTCGAACTAAGGTACAAGTTCTTCAGTTCAAGTCGAAGTACAAGTACATCCGACTTGGTCTTTAAGGATCTAATCGTGACTATTAGATTTTCTTGTTTATATGAGGTGGTTTTCATAATCTTAGTACTTGTTTGGGACGTAGCAGTCCCAGGCCACGATGGATCACCGCCATAATCGATAGTTAAATGTTTTGTAGAAACTATTATTTGTGTGTTACAACTTTTCTGTATAACAACTTTAACAAGAATTCCATTATGTAGAGAATTACTGGGCAATTATACAAAATAATACAAATAAACTTTGTATGTAAATGTAAAAGCTTGTCATTTAGCCATGACTAGGCTCTTCACTAAATTAAGTCAGTAACCACTCAGTTGCTAAGTTTTTCTAGCAACTCAAAGAAATGCGATTCCTTAGCTGCACATAATTTGGGTTATATCAATGGTTTAAAAGGATTCGTGCATTTTATTTCCCGATTCAATCCTATTGCCTGGCGCAAAAAAAAAAAATTGAATAAGATTGACTGTTGGTGCCACAATTGTTGAGGACGGATTTTTTTTTGGTGAACTGCCGTTCGAGTCTACTAGAGAGACCCAAAAAGCCGTTCTGTTTTTTTATTTATTAATCCAAAATCTTCTTCTAAAATTTGCTAGAGTGAACTCTAAGTCATTTGGGATAGTTCCGAAAGTTCGTCAATACTTCTACGTCGATCTTCAGGGATTAGGTCCCTAATTTTTGTAACTTTTTCCTTCAGTGTGGTAAGTAGAAGGAGGACTTGAGATAGGTTGGTGACCAATTGACATTTCTCTTTTATGATGCTTGAAAACCACTCAAAAACCTTCTTTTTCCCACAACATCATTACTGCAGGCTGTTTGTAGCCTTTCTTCCCCATTTTTTCACAGAAGAATGCAAAATTTTATGGCACACGTTGCTCACGAAAATCAGACATCATCGAAAAATGAAGAGCGCGCAAATGAAGTGTCACAAAAAAAAAATAAGATAATAGAACATGGCCTTCTAGGGCAGAAATGCTGGGCACGCGACAGTATTGTAATCTTACCTTGCTGTGTTCTAATTTGTCATATATTTTTTGTTCGAACGCCTAAAATATGAAATGAATTTCGTGGTCTTTTAGAAGTTAACTCATACATCATTTCTAGCCTATTATTTTATGCTTATTTATCTGTTTTTTTACCCTAAACTTATCACTTGTGTTTGCAGATTGAATGTGTTCGTGAGCTCCTGAGACCAATAGAGACCCTGCAAGCGAGTATTAGGAATTTTATGTCAAGCAACAGTGAGTTGAAAATCCTTGCGAGCAAACAAGAAGTACAGAAGTTGCGTCTCGAGGAGCAGGAGAAGCAGAAACTGAAGGAGCAGCACGAGACGAGCCTCAAGAAGCTCGAGAAAGAGCTTGTAAACGAACGCGAGTATGAACGCAGTCTTAATACTGAAAAGAAGATACGGGAACGAAAGCGAGAGGTCGAAGACATACGGGAGGAGGTGATGCTTCTGAAAGCTAAAATTGCTTCCTCGCAACAGGAGTCCTTGACGTTGGAGAAAAGTCGTCTCTCCAGAGAGTTTCACGAGCTCGAGAAAGAGGTAACCGTCGTCTGTAAAAGTCGTGCAGCCTCGATTGATTTCCTGATTTATTCATTTGTATTTAATACGTGTTATAAAATTGTGTAAAGCATTTCGGAATTTGGTCCACGAAGTTACAGGAATGCGGTGCTAGTTTGAACATGGAGGTTGAATTTTTCAGGTGTGCCCTTACAATAGAATTGAACATAGCTTGGATACATCTATCACTGGATGGTGTTAAATTGAGTATTGAAATTTTCAGTGTTGTTTAAAACTGATTACATGATTAATTTTTTTCTTTTGTTATTGATTGATTATGCAGCATCTTTGACTGTGTTGTTCAGTCCTAACGTTTTTCGAGTAACTTCCTGCTGCTTCATGTTACACTTCAACTTACAACCATTAATAAATTTTACTTGCATACATATTTATACAGTTGAACTTGAGTCGCGGTCGCTCCGATGAGGTGAACAAGAGAGTCCGTGAGCTTCAGCGAGACTTGCAGCTTCCTCAGTTTAAGGAAGCCGTGCGCAAGTATCGCGAGAAAATGCTACTTATCATGGTGTGTTTCATGGAAGGTTCCTTCTTGTTGCTCCTTCCTCGTTTACTTCACCTTTTGATTTTCCATACGTCTTTATGAATTTGAACTACAACTATACTTTTTTAGAGCTTATAAAGTTTTTGTTTCCCTGTGCTAGTACCGAATTGCGTTTGAATTTTGTTATTTATGCTTTCATTAAAATGTCATTGTAATAAACTTGAATATTTTTTAATTGTGTAATATTCAGTTATCGTATTATGCTTGCGTTAGAATTTAACTGCAAATTTCGAATTTTATGATTTCTTGAATTTAAACTGAATTGTTAGGTTATTGAATTGTTAATTCTTAACTTACAGTGTACAAGGACCGCGTGTGAGGACCTGAACAAATACTACAAGGCTCTCGACACAGCCATCATGAGGTTCCATGCCGAGAAGATGACAGCCATCAACAGGATCATTCACCAGCTCTGGAACTCCACCTACAAAGGCAACGATATCGACAAGATTGAGATCAAAACGGATGAAAATGAATCTAAAGGTAACTAGCTTGCGAGGAAAAACTATAAGGTATTAATACCCTATGTGTAATCGAGATTGGGATACAGATTATGTTAACTTGATAGGTAAATGATTTAGCTATGATTATAATGAGCACATTTAGGTAGACAAAATCCATGTGTAGAATAATTAATTTTGATTTGGAATCGATTCGTCATCCGTCCAAGAATAAAGATTTTTGTTGACATGAATCTATTTCGTTCAGATCGCTCCATTTTCGTCTGATATTTCTTACACTGATATTTGGTCGGCATTATTGTCCTGATGTAAGAAATATTTGTTACCGTGGCTTTGATGGGCAACGCGTATATGTATACAAATAAAATACTCGGTAGCAGAATTGTTGGATTATCTACTTCTCCTAGCCTTATTTCACTGCCAAATTATACGAATAAAGATTATATCCTCGTGAATATAACGTCAACAATTTTCGTGTCGCCAATTCTAATTTCGTCGTGTCTAATGATTTCTACTGTTTACGTGTCTCCAACCTAACTGTTTACGTCTCTACACTTCCTCTATTTACCGGTCCCGACCAAACTGATAACGTCTCTATCTCTACACTTCCACTCTTTACGTGTCTCCAACCTGACTGTTCACGTCTCTACACTTCCACTAATTACGTGTCTCCAATCTAACTGTTTACGTCTCTACACTTCCACTCTTTACGTGTCTCCAACCTAACTTTTTACGTCTCTACACTTCCACTTTTTAGGTGTCTCCAACCTAACTGTTAACGTCTCTACACTTCCACTCTTTACCTGTATCCAACCTAACTGTTTACGTCTCTACACTTCCACTCTTTACCTGTCATCACATGACGTGTCTGATAACTTAAATTGTTTGTGTCTTGTCACTTGAACTGTTTACGCGTCTGAAACTCGAAAAGTTTCGTGCAGGTGCGGACAAGCGGCGCACTTACAACTACCGCGTGGTGATGCACAAGCGCGAAGTGGAGCTCGACATGCGCGGCCGCTGCTCGGCCGGTCAGAAGGTGCTCGCCTCTCTCATCATCAGGTATGTTGGATACTGGTCGGCAGCTACGGAACATTCCTATAAATGCCATGTTTTCTGCACCGTGACTTCATGTAATATTGCACTTAATAAAGTTATTATATTAAAAATAAATCGTGTACTTCAGTGTACGCTAAGCGTTAGGCTTACGTTAGATATAGAAGAAAAGACGAACTGAGCTGAAGTAAGCAAAAAAACTATAATTCAGTACTCACTGCAGTGAGTGACAGAGAACGCATTTTCTCGTCGACGAAAACTTGAGGTCACCGACAGATGGACGGACAGACAGACAGACAGACGGACGGACGGACGGAAATGGCGAGCACAATAGTGCATTTTTTCCATAAATGAGAAAATGCGCCAAAAACCCTCTGTTTATTTCAATTTCGTGACTTGTTTTTTCACTTGATAGTTTGCTCTAAAAAGGCGGCCACCTCGTTAATCTCTGCGCAAAGTACAAGAAATGCAAAATCGTAATTGAAATGTTTCCTGTATGAGATTCATCACATGAATTAAATATTTTTTGATTGAGAACTTTTTCGTGGAAATGTCTGAACTGGCCACATTAATTCCATTTTTCTGCTACATTTCCACGATTTTAGTTAGATGTTCTAACTCTTTATGACGCGAGGGAACACATTCGCATGGGTTTCATTGCATTGTTTCGACAAAGGTATGATAGTAGGAGATTTTATTTGTGGTTTTTCATTACAACGTTTATTCCTGCAGTCGAATTTTTTATTTGGACTTGAATTGCAAGTATTAAATGTATAACTTTTATTTCGTCAGATTTCTGATGTAGTTATTTCATTTTGTTGGATTTTATAGAAGTCGCTAACCAACGTGGCATCGCTTCTGCTGAGACATAACGGAAGATAGTCCATTTGTTACTCAATTGAGCGGGCCTTTCATAGGTACAAGTAGACCAAACACTAATACTAACTTTTACAAAAGTAATATTACTTACGATAATTTCGTCTTTCAGGATGGCTTTAGCAGAGACTTTCAGCAAGAACTGCGGCATACTTGCGCTAGATGAACCAACGACTAACTTGGACCGCGATAACATCCGATCTCTGGTGCGGTCTCTGGTCGGGTGAGTGATCCGACACACAGGCCCATTATTTTGAGTTACGATTTAATATTTCCGGCACATAAAATTCCACACTTACACAGATCACCTTTTTACTTCAGCATCGAATTCTATTAATTTTTTAAATTTTAAGAATAAGAAGAGTGAAGTCGCACGGGATTTTGCCGCTTGTTTCATAGGCATTTCTTCATTTCCTCGAATCTCTTCTCCTCAGGATCGTCAATCAGCGCTCTCAGCAACGCAACTTCCAGCTCATCGTCATCACCCACGACGACGAATTCCTCAGTGGGCTGGCTGAAGTCGACCAAATTCAAGATTATTATAACGTGCGGCGCGATGACCGGTCTGTATTTAATTCACCGTCAAATATTGTATGCATGATTAATTCTCAGTTACATAGTGATTTACATATTGGTTTCATTGATTGAGTTTTATCTCATTATTTATGAATAATACAATATATGTCTAATTTCAAAAATTTCATCAATGGCATGACATGTTTTTAGATGAGTGAGTAGGTTAGTTATCTTGCAATGTAAAAATGCACGGTTGTGTTCATAGAGTTGGGTTAAACTTAATAATCATAATCTTGCTTTTCACCATCAATGATCTCAATGAATTTTTACAGTGGGTTCTCATACGTTCATCGTGTGGAATTGGACCAGACGCGACGATAACGTTAGCTTGAAGAAGAAAAATTCTTTTGGACGAGTTCTTCAGTTCCATAGCGTCATCTTTCACGCACTCTTCTAGTAAAAATTATTTTTTCATTCCATATGGACACAATCCTAAAGTCGGCGAAAAGTAAAGAAATGTTACGTAAATTTTGTGTTAAGATTCAATTCTTCCTTGGTGAGTAGGGAAAGGAATAAAGCGAAGACAATTAATAGTTTATTCCGCACATGTGAAGTGTGCTAGCGTTATAAAGGCATTCTAAAGTAGCAATAGACATGTCCCTACATAGATGACTGAATGCAGCATAATACCAGTATAAAAACTTAAGAGGAGATGGGATGAATGACACCCGCGGATAAGTACCAGATAGTATCGCTAATTAATGAAAAAATTGAAATTGTCAATGTTCGTTTCAAAGACATGGTTGCTTATATTCATCATTGCTAATAGTCGACTGGTATACTGTCGAAGAACTGGGTATTGGATTATTCTTCAACGTTCGGTGCGATAGGAAGTATATTAAGTGGGTAATAAACATCAATTGTAAACCCGAATATAGTAGGCATAAATAGTCGAGGTACCACTTGGAAGCACGAGAATAATCGACGCACAAACAGTACTTCAGCGGCTGTTAAATGTGCATAGCGTTGTCAGAGTATATTTAAACAAAGAAAATGATAGTAATACGTCCATCGCGGAAAGATCTTTCCATAAATATTCTTCACAACAAGAGGTTCGTAAACAGAAACGTGGAGAGTATGTTTCATTGGATTTCTGTGTAAAGGCTTGATATAGTGGACTGAAGGTTAATGTTCTGCATAGATGGATTCATTACTGACCATTTTTAATAATTGATCACGCATTTCAAATCTTGAAGTAATCAGCATGTTATTAATTCCTATTCTGCACACACTTGGAATTCAAGACCAATTTCCGACGATATTGAAGGCCGCAGCTCAAGTCGATAACAATTCACGAAATGATTGAAATAATTCTGTAATTCACTAAAATAATTCATGCTTATAATATGCCAGTAATATTGGGTAGCTGCGCCAAGGATTTTCAAATAGTTATTAAACGGTTTGATTTAATATTGATGTGCTTATCTAATGAGGCAACACTGATCGATTTCTCTGGCAACTGAAAAAATATTCACTTACACCAATTACATATACCACGTAGGCAACTTACAGCGATCGTAGATATCTATGACATTGATTTAACGCACTTTCAAAAAAATATATTATTCCAATAACAACGCCAAATTTTATCAATTCTGTCCAGGTAAAAACACACGTTTAATCTCATTGCAGGGTTAGAGTTCAGCACCGTCTTAAGGGCAAGAAAAATATCACTATTATTCTACAGCAAATAATTCCCGTAAGCCAATTTCAGTGGAATTATTTTTTTTTTTAAATACGATCATCGAAATATCCTCGTGACTTAACCAAGTTCCTCGCGTTGCGCATATTCTCCACTTTCTTTTCAAAAATCTCACAGCACAAGCCTGACAGATGTGTCAGTTGTTATGCGGAAAAGACCATAACAACATTACATAATTATTTATGATCCCCGTCAAAGAACCAATTCCCATTAATTGGAGATGTCACCTGCCGTGCTTCACATGAACTACGTATGATTAGCATTCGTTTTAGTGTCGCTCTAACTGAAAAACAGTGAATGAAAGCAGTTCGAACGACAAGGTTACACATCATCTGCCTATGTACAAAAATTACAGAACCTTTCACCAGAAATCCATGAATATAGTCCTAGAATATTTATAAAAATAATTCAGTTAATTAAACTGTTTCAAAGATTCATTCAATCGTAGGCAGAAAACCATATAGGTGCAAATAACACTCAACGAGGTGTACGTTATTGTTCCTAAAATTATTAGTATTAAATTTTAATCAGTACCAGGATGAGATAATATCAGGAAATTGTTTAGATAGAAAACGTTTTATTAGTTAATGAGTAACTAAGCTCGGTTAAAAAATTATACAAAATAATCTAAACTAACTACGCTACAGTAGACGAGCATGGCACTCGTAAATACGAGAGCGGAATTCGTGAATGAAAATGATCACTAGAACTTCTTCACTTCAGCTTGATTTTGGATCACAAATAAAATATCAAGAGTTACAATGCAAATTTTTTGTCGTACGTGCAAGATGTATAGAGAAAATGTTTGAAACTGATCTTTCAGTAGATTGTTCAAAATTTGAGCTAAAAATGATAACGGTAAAAAATGTAGACCCTTTACAAAGAAGAAAATTGATTCGTCCCTGCAATTCATGCAATTTTTTCGTTGGAACTCGATTATAAATGTTGTAGTAAGAGAAAAATGCAACGTCAAGCCATTCGTTTAGGCTAGTGAATAAAAAATTGAACAGTTCAAGATTGATTTTTCATTTCAAAAGGTTAAAAACTGCGCTCACATTCGAAAAGTAGAAAAACATCAAGCTAAATTACCTGTTTTCGGGTATATAAACTCATAAAACGCTGGCAACAAAATTTCAAGCCACTTGCAATTTTTGGAAGTTATTTGCCATCTCCAAAACCTTGCTGCTACGAGATGACCCGCCGCTGCTGCGAGCCTGGAGAAAAACAAATGGTCATATATTACCTATAACAGGTTTTTATTTTTTATAGAGGGTTAATTGTAACTCCTTTAGTACACACGCTAACAGCCAACTAGATTCTCACTACCTTGTTTACTGCATGAATTGTACAGGACCGAGCAATAGACATCGCGACAGTAGGATGTGTGTAAACTTCATTACTTTTGGTCCGGCAATAGAGGACGCACTTTTCTGAGGACGCACTTCGTGTAACGCATTTTCCCAGAATTTCGAATGAAAAGAAAATGCACCGCTGAAAACGTAATAAACTACATACCTCAGATGACTCATCCAGACTCTCGACGGACTTGCTTTGCTTGAGTCGGTCTTCCCTCCTCTGGCGCACGAGTGCTCGCCAGTCGTCTCCCCCCTCGCCGCCCGACGAAGGCAGAGGAGTAGCGAAGGCCGTTGATGTTGTGTCCTGAACCTGCTGCTTTGTGAGAGCGTTCTGTACGATGATGGAAGACAATGCAACGTCTTGCGAGTCTCCCAAGGAAGCATCAGGTGCAGGACTTGAGAAACACCTTTTTGGAGTTGGAGGAGAAGGCAAAGTATATGTGGTTGGAATTTGTTGCCGAGGATGAGGTGTGTATGACGCCCCTATCGAATGACGGTGGTGGCAGTGGGAAGAAGAAGGGCTGTTTGTTACCGACCCCACGGAACTGTGACTTCTCGATGTCGTATGAACAGATGAATGCCTTGGCTTGGGTGAAATGTTAGAGTGGACGGGACCCGAGAATCCAGGCGCAATGTTACGAGCCTCAATTACAGCGGATGACCCAGCAGGCGTTGTTCTGGCAGTAGGAGATGCAATACAAGAGTTCGCTGGCGCGTCATTCAACGCTCCGGCATTCATAAACTTTAACCTCACAGATTTTACCTGTGACAAGTTTGCGTCCTCGATATTTTCACTTGATTTTGCACTGTCGTCATGTGGACGAGGCGGAGTCGTTCCTGTTCCAACTATTTCCACAGGTTTTTCGATCATAAATTTGTTAATTACCTCTGGTGATACAGAGGTGTTTGGTTCAATTTTTTTAGGCTCGCCAACAACAATTGCTTTGGGAGGCCAGGAGACTGGAGTGACAATAGTGCCACTAACGTTTAGGACACCTGAACTTAGTGGACGACTGAGAGGGCGCGTCACTGGTACAGTCACAGGTGACAGCGATGCACTAGTCGGATCAACAGTACCTCCCAATGCCTTTCCTACAATGATGCTCGTGAAGGACGACGAACTACTTCCTGTGCCAAGTTCTCTATTTGCAGACATGGGCCTGATGCTTATTTTACCACTTGAACTCAATGCGGTGGGAGAAACTCTAGAAGTTGAATCTCTGGAGAGAGCTGATAAATCGGTCTTTGGTAATCGGGAGTTGTCAGAGGAATGGATTCTCGGTTCAGTCTTTGGTTTCATTTGTTCAGATTTCTCAGAGTAAGTCTTGGCTGTCATGGGAACAGTTTTGGCGGTATGAGAGCTAATAATGCTGCTGTCGAGGGAAGATGGTTCGGACGCACTGCTGAACATATCGGATGCTCCTGTCAGAGATTCAGTCACAGTTGGCGATGCAAGAGGACTTGTACTTCTTGCAGAAGGACCAGGCGGCTTAAAAGATAGAGCTGGACTGCCTACGCCGAGTTTATTCCCGGTAGAATTCGACATCAATGGAGTTTGAGGTGGTGTGGGCGTAGAATATAAAGGATTTATTTTAGTGATACCCGACATTTGTGTGGATAGAGATGCAACGAGATCACTTGAATCGTCTTCTTGAGAGGCCTCATCGTCCTGTAGTGTAGAATCGAAAGTTTCCCTCACCTTGAACGACCGACGAGCAAACACTTTATACAGTTCAGGTTCCTCCTCCTTTTTAGGCAGCACACAGGGGTCTATAACCAACGACTTCTCCCGCCGAAGTGGGCGCAACATCACAGCATCATCGGATGATTCTCCAACAGCAGTTACAGGAGGAGTGTTTTCTTTATTATCTCTACTGTGTGGATGTTTCGGAGTGCATAAAGATGGATTCTGTTGCGATGTAGAAATTTCACACTGAACTTCTGGGAGTTCCGTTGGATCATCGAGTGACTGTTTCGTCCTTCCAATTTTTGTTTCATCAGTTGGTGCACCCGACACCGTATTCTCCGATGAGTAAAGGATTCGCTGAGATTTGTTCTCAACTCTGTTAAGCTGAATTCGCATAAATTCTGGAACAGATGGAGGCTCCGTATCTTGGCTCGAGGTGCGACTTAGGCTGGTCTCTCTCTTATCGAATCTCGGTCGATTGATGAAGATCTTACTTTCAGGCTGTTCAAGTTCATCAGCGCTGGATGAGCGACGGTTGAGAATGCCCACCGGTCCACCGGTGTCTGCATATCTCAAGGATAAAGAGCGAGCAACACTTGTAGGTCCAGGCACGCTGATATTTTTGATGTCTTCTGGTTGATCAGATAAAGTTATCTCGGTTACTGAAGTTCCAGCCGTTATCTGACGCTTCATAAATGCACTCTCAGGTTGTGAATTTGACACACGATAATGTTCATACGTTTCTAAGTCAGATTTTTGAATGATGATGTGTGAACTAACATGATCGCTGCTGGACGTTTTTCTTATATTCTCTTCTTCCTTGGGGATGAGAGTGATACTGGAATCCAAGGAGTGAGGACCTCCTAAGTTATCTCCTGTGCAGGATTCAGCGAATGTGTTGAAGTGAGTCTGCTGAGTACAGAAATACGAAGGAGATTCGTTCGTTTCTTCGGACTCAACTCGGCTTTGTCGGTACTGTGACAAAGGTCTGATGTATACTCCTGGAATTTCAGTGGTTGTCAGACTATCTGTAGATGAAAGGGCAGAACTTTGTGCAGGACTCAGGACAACTTTGCTGACGCTTCGTTTTCTGTGTTCTCTGTTAACCAGAGAAGAAACGCTCGGACTGGCAATCTGAACAGATGATTGATTAGTTGCAAAGTTTTCGTCCAAGTTGTCATAGGAAGCAGAGAGTCGAGTCGTTTCGTATTCAACCGACGAGTCTCGTCCGAACCATGATCTGCGGGATGAATCTCGTTTTACGATATTCACGGGATTTCCGATTTCGCGGAAACTTTTTGCTTTTTTAACGTTAGCTTCACTTCTCCCGGGCGACCGACGCTCTACGTAACTGGCAATAGGAACAGTGATGGGAGGCTTCTGAGAGACGCTAAATGAGGACTCGTGCTTATGGCCCTCGAGGCGGCCCTCTACACTGCAAGATCTCGAGTCGAATTCTGCTCCATCTTCCAGCCGTGGGGTTTCCATCTTTTTGCTTTGAGTTGAATTTGTTTTGGCTTTGAGATGAATTTGTTGTTGATTAGACTCCATCTGTGGCTTCGACTCGGGATAACTCTGAAGTGCAATCTCTTGTCCAAGGTCTATTTCAGTTAGCTCTTGCTTGTCAAAGTTAAGCGGTTTGTTTCGCGAATTCGATCGATTGACAACTGGTAGTTTTGAAGATTCAGATGTTTTTTCGCCAGAGGATCTGAGTTTTACTTCTCGGCGCAATGGACTCGGGCTATCCGCACGACTGACGTCTGCTATTTCGCCAGAGTTGCGCGAACGACGGCGTCCGGACCTTACGGAGCCAAAGAGTCGATCAATAAGAGTTTCTTCTCGCTTATCCGCATCATTGTGGTCTGCGTCGCTTCCGGTCTGATCTGTTGATCGGAGAGACAATCATTATTTTTGCTACTACCTCTAATAAAGTAATAAATATTCAAAAACCAAGGAGTGAGCAAACGTGTGAAGCAAACTTCAGAAGTTAGCTTCACTATAATAAAAACACAACATCGAAGGGGAAAATTCCCTTTGTCTTGAATTGAGAGACTTTACCCAGTCTATGGTGAATTGAGAGACTGCACCATAGACTGGGTAAAGTTAGATAGTATTGATTAGATAGTGGCATTTGTCGATTTCTGATCTTCAAATTTAAAAAATAGAAGCGTAGGTAATTCTATTAAAAATCATAGGCAACATAATCGAAAATAACATGAACATCGTAACCACGAACCCAGGTGAGCAGGAGACCCGACGAGCTCGGCAGGTCGCTGACCATATGAACTAATTTGCGGGGCACTATCATTAGATCCTCTATATTCCTGCACGATGCTATGCTCCTGCAGATGGCGAGGTTCCTGTACTGACATCTGCATGAGCACGTGATGAGGGTCAGGGTGATAGTTCAGAGGATCAAACCCGCTCTTGTTCGAGATTTTGTGCGAGAAAAGAGCATCTGTGGTGTGATGGTGACTGCTCAGCTGTTGTTTCACCGTGTCTCGCTTCTCACCCTGTATCACCGAGTCTCGTTTTTCACTCTGTATTACAGAGTCTGGCTTTTCACTCTGTAGACCAGGCAGCATCGGGTGGCTGCTGAAGTCAGCAGCTGCTTGCATAGACCCGGACTCGCTCCTGCTGCGGTTTCTGGCCAACGCTTCGTCGTCGTCAGTCAATGTGAGCGCTAGACGCTCGTTTGCGCGCGCGCTGCTCAACTCTTCGTTGACCTCCAGGGTGGGAGGAAGCAGAACCGAACAAGTCCCCTGTAAGAATACAAATGATTCTAGTAGTGAATTGAGTAAATGAATATCAGGAGAATAAAATTACTAAAGATAATGAAATAAATAGGTGCACGATATTTCAATAGAGATAATGAAATAAATGGGTGCACGATATTTCAATAGAGATAATGAAATAAATGGGTGCACGATATTTCAATAGAGATAATGAAATAAATGGGTGCACGATATTTCAATAGAGATAATGAAATAAATGGGTGCACGATATTTCAATAGAGATAATGAAATGGGTGCACGATATTTCAATAGAGATAATGAAATAAATGGGTGCACGATATTTCAATAGAGATAATGAAATAAATGGGTGCACGATATTTCAATAACTGAATAACAAGTCGGTGACAGGAGCGTGTACCTGCAGGGGACGACGAGGGCGACTAAGGGCGTGCGTCCGGCGAGGGCGAACGGCAATCTTGTGGCGCGCTGCCGTGTGGCTGAGGCCGGGAGCCTCCCCCGCCACGGGTTCGTGATCTGCAACAAAACGAGATCTCAGGGCTACAGAAACGTTCAAATCATTATGCTCAAGAAGCGGCATAGAAATTTAGCGGCGCATCACATAACCTCAGGTTGAAATCAGATGTCATGTCAAAATACGCTTCTTTGAATTTAAACATTAGGTTAGTTGTTTCGAAATTACTACACGACATGTCACGTCTAGATCAAACGGCACTTGATGTTAATTCAAATTTAGACATAATGTCACGAGGAATCATGAGTATACTTATAGGAGCCGCTATGAGTGTCGTCGACCATAGGTACGTATCTCGGTGAGAAATAGTCGACAAAACGGAGACTATTTGTCATGTTAGAGTTTTACTTCACAAAAAAATTATTAGGTTTAAACTCTTTGTTACGTTTGAATGATACGAAAATCACGACCTGCTCCTGTTGCCTAATGCTATTGGTAATTTGGAAAATGATAGAAAACGGGCGTATGTCCACTAGTTCATTAGGGCCCCAAAGCACTGCAGTGAGACCTCTACAAAGTATAATTATATAAATTAATTTGACCGTATCAGCGGACCCCGTCGTTTCTTTACAATGAAGATACCGATGCATAACATCAAATTAATCGAGTTATAATGGATCCTTCCTCCATAAATCGTTGCTTAAAGCAGCATTGGTTTAATACGATGGCGATGAGGTGTGATCGCTGGCGTGAATACCGCCTTAATCCACTAATTTTAATAAAGGTGATAACAGTCGTAGAGGAGAACAATACCGTTGTCAGTGTTGAGCTTAGACAATTTGGAATGTGGAAAGTTGAGAAAGAATACTAATAAGTTTAGATATGTTAATATTACAGCACATGACCAAAAATAACAAGAATAAATAAATATATATGTAACTAAAAATACAATAACATAAATGTATTCGATCATTTCATTGCCAATTAAAATATGGAAGTGGAAGCCATGCACTCACCCACAACTTGCATGAAGCGGCCATCGCCGAGTGAGTGTTTCGACGAATTCAGAGAAGCCGCCGAATCCTAAAAATAGAAGAATACGAATAAATATAATTTGAAACCGGCAAAAGCACACAGCTGTCAGGCATTTAATTCTTGCTTCATAAATGAAGCGGACGTCAACATCATCGAGATGGGTAGCGAGTTGAAAATACAGGCTGAAAATAAGTAAATTAGTAACCTTATTACAATTTTCTACAAAATTTTCAAATCAAAGTTCACTCAGCGGCAGCGTTAACCATAACCAGCTAAAATAATAATGAGACCATATTTAATTATAATCCTAGAAAGGAGAAATTAAACGATCATGTCACGCGTCTCGCACAAGAATAACACGCTGAATGCAGCGACAGAAAAGCCAGTTCACCTGTCACGTCAGCGCGCTTAGCATAATAGCGCTTAGACTTGCGTCAAGATACATATGTACTGTTATCATCCACGTGACGTACGTGCGAGGACAGCTTTGTATTAATTACGACCGACAACTTACTTCAACCGATATTCCTTGCAGCAGAACATATGTATTATGTATTCAGTTCATTAGGACCTCGTGTAAGGCACGAAGAAAAAATATGATCTATCAACCATACACAAAGCACATCAAAACAAATGTCATTTGTTACCTTATGAAGCTTGAAATACGAGCACCAATCACTACCTAATTGTTGCTAGGTGTCAAAATTTAAAAACGTTCCCATAAAATATTTGACCAAACTTTAGCTGAAGCAGCGATAGTTCTGGCCCTTTCATTTGTTTCCTTTTTTGACGAATTACCATTAGGTTATTTTTGTTGAAGGGGTCCACATCCTATTTAGTTATTAAAAGTATGATTTATTTATTGATTGATAGTAAGTCAGACGAGTAAAGCGGGTTAACAAGCCATACATCGGTATTACAAGCTTATGTCGATGACGGTTAATAATTGGCTCGATACATGAGCTGCGAAGTGCAGGCTGATTTTCAGGGGAGAGGGAAAGCCCTGGTAAATATCACCAATTTCAAGCGCAGGAGAAATTGAACACGCATCGCGTTTCGTCCACTACATTCACGTAGAGGAAAGCGGGAAGCGCTGAAGAGTAACGCAACAGCGTCACAAACAACGCTCACGCAAGCGACGTACTGAGTTAGCCAAACATTTGTGCGACTCGCACATATTCCAAGCTCAATAAAGTTCCAAGTGTCTTCCCAAAATGTACTCAAAGACAATTCCCTTCTTTAGAGCGGCAATTGCGTCAAAATTGCAAGATATTTACAACACTAGAGAGGCAATGAAGATCAGTTGAGAACATTGAAATCTCTTTAACTCTTCCAAATTACGAGGAAATATTACGATACTTAGCGGGCTCGGGGATGCAACATCAGCAGGGATCGTTCGAGCACACCAGTGAGCTGGCTGACGACGAGTGTGGAATTAGAGGGCGTGACACGCGCTCTTTCCAGACCACAAAGCATGAACACAATCGAACTCGCTATCGAGAGCTCTCGGCACATGTACTGGCGTGTGACAGATCTCGTGTGAATGTTAGGGAGCCACTCCAGATATAAACAAATGCTCTAAGTTTCAACTATTTAGGGATAAATGAATGGTATGGTATACAAAGATCTTTAGAAGTTAGTAAATTATTTTAGCTCTCTACTTATAATTGGTCTTCTTGACTGTTTTTGCACCTGTCAAAAAAAAAAACAGACTGGTACACGAGCATCAAGAGAAGGTACACAAAACGAGCATCAAGACGATTCGTCGCAAATAATCCGCATCATCATTAATAATATTACCTTTATGATTACCACATTCAATTGCAATTATTAAATTTGATCAAATATGCAAAGCATACTGGTCGGTTTAATAATACGACAAGTCTTTATTTTTCAACAGCTTAACAACAGCTATACAACAAAAATCGATATAAAACAAGCTTAGCTCGGTGATAGCTTTAGATAATAGTCATAATAGTGAAGCAATCTAATACAATGGATGGCGAGTTACAATGGGCATTTTCGACACAAGGAGAGATCTTGCTCCATACACTGCTTTTCCCAACTGCTGCAGCTATTGCTTCGTCTTTTGATTCATCGCGAGTTTCACACTGGAAACGGCACTGAATAGAGCGACGCGGATCGAGTTTTTATTCGTTTAGACGGTAATGACGAGAGCAATGGCATGCAAAGCTAATTAGCGTGAAGATAGAACATAGAGTTACGGCAGATTTCACCTCAATGATGAGACAATTCAACTGTACATTTATCGCCCAAACTGTTACTGCCGAAGTGTATTTAAATCATGCATCAGCCGTGAAGAGATGATCGTATGAGAAGCGAAAGGACCACTCGTTGAACACATGTCGCCTTGCGGGCTTTTACAGCCACTTTTTCGCCAGTGTCGATTTTTACAGCGAATAAGAAATACGAGTAAGAACAATAAAATATTCCACCATTTGGTGAAAAGTTTCTACACGTGTTCGCTCGATGCCATATGCTGAGGCTGAGGTGATGTGGCGCAACATATGCAATTTTCCGAGATTCTGAAAGTATGGCATAAAAGCCGCGGACATACAAAAAAAGGATTTGAAGAAGATTTAATAAATTCAGTCGATGCTGAAACTCTCTTACTAGATTTTAAGCAAGTTCTTCGGTGTTCTTTGCGAGATAGCAGAGGATCGGAGTGCCGCTATCGTACACCGAGGGATATGGACAACATTATACGTACTCGGTACACGCAAGGCTCGCATCACTCACATTCCATCATTCATCTGAGGTTGATTCATGTTCTTCAGTTGAATAAATGTTAATAGAACTTTGTCACGTTTAATCAACCTTAATTAAACGCTGTTTAACGTATGTGATGATCAAAAAAGAAGGAAAAAAACGTGGAGAAATCCACGCTGAGTTGATTTTTATGATTGAGTTTATCGGTGGCCCAGTGGTTACAGTTCTGAGTACCATGATTGGCGCAGAGGCACGGGTTCGATCCCGGCTCTGTGCGCCAGTTTCTGGTCAGAATCGGCAAGCAGGCCGGGCGGTTAAGCACAGCAGAATTGTAGCAGTGAGTTGCGAGTTCGAGACCGCAAAATGCTGTGAATGTTCTGCGATGTTAAGAATCGGCGACAGGCTTACGGCCTAATAAACGCTGAAACCGCTATTATATTATTATATAAAATGAGGCCTAAGATGATGGACGATTAAGTCACATAAAAATACGGACTTGGCTTGTGGATGTCACATATCGTAGTGCCTTGTAAGTTGTAACTTAATCAAATAAGTGACATGTCTCGCACCCGTCGAAATGCCAACATTGCATGAATCTATTGAAGAGGGCATTATTTATATTTTTAAAATTGCAACATTTCCTTATCGTTTCACTTACCTTCCGTCCAGAGTGCGCAAGAGTGGCAGTCGAATAATTTTCACCTGGACGACTAACGTTTAGAGACGAAGCAAAAGATCGACTCCTCTTGACGGGATCGCCATCATCAATATTGGCTTTACTTTTTCCGAAAATCCAAATTCCTTGAGCGTGTCGATTAGTATTTTCGTCGCCATCAGAAACGTAATGATCAGAAACGTAACGATCGTCACAAACACTGATGACACTCATACGGCTGGACGCTAAACAATCTTCAGTGAGTGAAGGCTTGGGAGCTTGGCGTTTTGGTGTCCCTTTGAAGGGCCGAGCAGGGGGCGGAATGGGGGGTTTGTTATGCTTCGGTCCCCCATGGCCAGCCTTAACGCGTCCGTTAGCGATTCGTTGTGGGATCACGTATGGCAGGTGATGAGCTGCCACCTCAACGGAACGACCTTCATTCCGTTCACCACGAATAACTAAACGGAAAAGTTCGGTCAACATTTCGACTCGAATGAACACTCCGTGAAACTCTCAATCCTGTGTTCAAGGATTTCATCTCTAGCTCGGTGCTATCGTCATTGTGATTATCCAGTGCAGGATAGTTCGGTGCTCAGAAGTTTCGTAGCTGCGTAAAAGACGTGGATTTTCAATAAGCACGGCGCCCTTTTAGAAATTAGTTCTTTTACTCTTCACTATAATTGTCACTTCCATGTCTGAAATTGAAAAAAGCCATAGATCTAGTCCAAAAGATCAATATGGGAAAAAAGAGAAAACATAAACAAGCGATAATAATACCCCAAAAAATTGAATACAATTTCTTCCCAGTTAAGTATAAATAAATGAACTTTAAATACCCTTGAAAATTTGAACTCATTAATAAAAAAATCATGTTCATCGCGGCAGGAATATGACAAGAGCTTGCACACAACACTCAAACACAGCGATTAACGCATCTAAAGCTCTAAGAGAAACTGCGCCCCTAAAGAAAATATGCAACTTTCAAGTAACAAGGGTTCGTTACAGTGAAAGTGTATCGTTAGCTAACGTAACGCTAAAGCTTCGCATTGATGGCAAACGTAACGAAGTCATTCGTAACGCAAACCAAGTCCTCCGATGTGCTCGGCAATCGCGGCATGTATAGTCGTTCGCGATTCACTAGTAGAGGAAATCGTCAAACGAAGTTCGACTCTTACGCGAATTGTTGCCAAAATTTCTTCGTTTCAATGACGAACCTTCATGGTTGCGTAACCTGTATGTATCAACTTTCAGTTATAAATGGAATATAGCTGCCATGATATAATTGACGCCGAGATTACGACATAACCTCGCTGTGCAGGAAATCAGGCTCAGTTTTACGCTTCGGAGAAGTAATTGAAAGATGACTGCGTCATCTGCGCTGTTCTCTCACTGGCTGGTTCGAATTACCAGCTATATATCATTACTTTATTTGCTGATCACAAAACTAACGTGTTCAAAAATTTTGGTAGGCGTATAGGTAGCCATCGGATGTCAACTTTCAGCTAAAACACCTAGAATAATTAGTAATAGGTGATCAAAGTCAAAAGTCAAATACACAGAGAAAATTAAAACAGATGGTCGTTAATGTAATGTAGGAACGGTATTTCCGATTTTTAAAACAAAACTTCCTTCTTATCATCGGTGTGAATGGAAAAGTATTCGA